CGCCCCGCATGCGAGCAGCAATGCAGACAGGCTGGCCGTGTCCCGCTCGCCAGAGCAGATGCGCCGCACTCCGCCCTCGGCCCGGGGCGTCTCATCCCCACTGAGGCGCGGGTGGTGGTCGCCCAGGCCGGGCGCTCTGGGCAGCACCCCCACCCCAGCACCAGGGCAGGAGGAACCTCCATACCTGTGTGTCCGGCCCGCCCCTGGGCAGGGCGGAGGCCAAGGGTGGCCTCTGGGCCTCCATCCCCAGCGCCCCTGAGGCCCTGAATCGGCCCCGCAGCTCCTGGTCCCGCCTCCTCAGAGCGTCCATCTGGTGCTGGAGCTGGCCGTGGGCCTCTGACCAGCGCACCTCCTGCCGCCGGAGCTCCTCCCGCAGGGCAGTCACCTCCTGTTGCAGCACCTGCCGCGAGGGGACAGACTCAGGCTGCACCCCTGCACCCCCCGCGCCTCCTGTGCCTCCCCTCAGCAAGGCCCCTCCAGAGCCCAGGCCGGTCTCTGACACTGCCAGGCGCCGGGGACTCTGCCAGGGGACAGCAGCTCCCTGCGGAGAGGCAGGGTGCAGGGGTCAGTGGGTGGGAGCCCACAGCTGCTCACAGCTGCCCCACAGCTGCCTTCCTACCATGCGGGTTTCAAAACAGGAGCAGTGACCGTCGGCGACACTCAGGCACGTCCTGTGTACACGGACCAAAGCTGTGCCGGACAGGGACTGCCCGCCCGGGCAGAAGGACTGAGCGGCCCGCACTGGGGCAGAGCTACAAGACCAGGGCTCCAGGGACATTCTCCTGCTCCTGGAGGCCGCTCCTGAAGGGCCAGCAGCGGCTGCGAACAGCCCCAGCAGGGAGGCTCAGCGGCTGTGTCACCCCGCGAGCCCCAGGGTGGCGGAGACGGAGTTTAGCTTTAGGATAAGTCGGTGTTTGTCCGCGTCACCCCAGCACTGACGTGGCAGCGTCTGGCCCGGCAGGGCTGTGGGCACCCTCGGGAGGCCCTGCCCGCCACGCGTAGTCTGCCGGGGTGCTGGGGTGAAGGCCGCAGAGGGGCCGCAGGGGCGGGTGCACCCAGCTAGACAGGGAGCTCCGCGGCGCATGCATGGGCTTCTGCACGAGTGTGGACACGTGCACTGGTCAGTGTGGCCACAGGGCCAGCCCCGTCCGATGGCCGCACAGGCACCACTGGCCACAACTTTTCAGATGCCCTCAGGAGCGTCCTCGACGACGCTCTGACGGCCGTGCCGCTGGACGCCCGCGAGAAGGCCTGAGCGGGCTCTTGGGCAGCCCTGGCGGCAGTTCCCAGCCGGCCTGACGGGCTCCAGGGCTGTCCGGAGCGCTGGCTCCGTGGCCCGGCCCTGGGGCCCCTGTTCCTGCATCTGCGTTGCTCCCCCCGTCCCCTGCCCGGGCTGGCTGTCCCCACAGGGGCTGGCGGGCCTTGCAGGACTCAGCCAGGGCCCGCACACGATCAGTGCTCAGTGTAAGGGGCGCGAGCCGAGGGGCGGGCGGGGGTGGCAGCAGCAAGCACAGACCCAGGGGCTCGGGGGTGAGGTCATGGAGGGGGGCGGTGGGCACCCACTGTGGCATCAGGGTCACCAGCCAGGCCTGGGCGAGGCACTGGCTCCTGCTGCCCGGCCCTTCCAGGCCACCCCGTTGCCCTCGCTGTCCCCTTCCGCCGCCCTGTGCGCGGGCCGGGACTGGTGCGGAGCCCTGCATGACGGCCCCCGGGCCCCCGGGCCAGCCCCGCTGTGCGCCTGCCCGCCTGCCCGGCCCAGCCAGGGGCCACCGTGGACCGAACAGGGAGCCGACGCCCCGCAGGCCGGCCGGGCGCGTGGGAATTGGGAAGCGCGGCGGGAAGAGCCAGTCTCGTCCGCGTCTCACTTGTCAGCAGCACCGTCAGAGCTCGCGCCGTCCGTGGGCGTGGGGCTCGCTGAGGCAGCAGCTCGCTGCCCACCCTGCCCCGGACAAGCCGAGGAAGAGAGGAGCGTGAGGCCCCTGGGAGGAGGTGGGCCACATCCCCCTGCCAGTGTGCCCGGCGGGGCCCCTGGGCTGCCCTGGGGGGACGGCAGCGGAGCCTCCGTGGAGGGGCAGGGCCAGGGCGCTGGCTGGAGACTCCAAATTCTCACCCGCGGCCCAGCCTGAGCCCCGCTCACCAGCACCTCCTGGGCCACCCTCTCGGGGTGGGGCCCGGCCCCGCCATCCTCAGGGCAGCCTGGCTCTGCCGGCTCCTTGGCGTCGGGGCGCCCCCTCGGCATCCTGGCGTTGACGGGCCACCAGCAGCCGTGGCTTCGGCGGGGCCCCCATTGTGACCAGCGCGTGACACCACTTCCTGTCCCCCAGGAGGCCCCAGGAGGCCAGCTCAGCTCCCGGAGCCCGGAGCGGCGTCCCGAAGGGCCTCCGGCCCAGAGGAAATCCCCGAGGCCTGCGTCCACTTGCTGTCCACCTGGGGTGCGGGCGGTCTCGGCGGGGGAAGCCGCCTCCCTCCCAGCACAGAGGCAGCCCCGCCTGAGGCCGCCTGGTGCCTGCCTCCTCGGGGTGAGGACGGATTCCGGGGGCCCCCAGGGTGGGCGGCGCCAACCCTGCCGGGGAGTCAGGAAGCAGCCCGCTCCTCAGCTGACTCCTGCCTAAGGGGCAGCCCCCTCGAGCCGGCCGCGCTGTGCACCCCGAGCCGCAGGCACAAGACCGAGGGAGGCAGCGTGGGACCTGGACGCGCCTCCCGTGGGAGCCGGGCTGGCAGCCCCTCCCCCTCCCGCAGCCCTCACTGAGCCGCGGCCGCGGCCAGCGCACACCCGTGGCGGTGCGTGTCCCTCTCCGGGCCTCCGCGGCCACTGAACCGCGTTTTGACGTCTAAGCAAGTGTTGGCTGGAAGGAACGTCACGCGCAGGAGGGAAGCCACCCGAGTGGAGACCTGGAAACGGGCCGACCTTCATCCTCGCACGGAGCGCCTCCCCCGCCGGCCGGCAGCGGGCACAGGGCGGGGCGCGGGGCCGCCCAGGGGACACGCAGTGACCGTGCCGCCGCCGCCGCCCATGCCGCTCCAGGCAGGGCCACCACGACTGTCAGCGCGTCACAAGAAACCAAGAGCTAATGTCACGAGGGCGCGACGCGGAGTGGAGTCACAGCCCTCCGGGGTCGCCCCGAAAGGCAGACCCGCCCCTCCTCCTGCCCTGCTCCTCCGCTGGCTCCTGGAACGTAGCGGGAGCCGCCAGGCGCTGCAAGGCGGGGGCCACGGAGCCTGCGGGCCAGCGCCAGCTGCAGGGACGAGGGAGCCCGCAGCCCCAGGAGCTCCTCCGGGCACGGGACGCGAGGATACAAGGCCGAGTGGGGCGGGCCCGCGCCTGCGAGGGGAGCAGGGAGGCCGGAAGGGCTGAGGGCTGACGCGGGGGTCCGGGCCCGGGCAGGAGGGGGCGCAGACGCCCAGCCGCGGGCCTGGCAGGCCAGCAGGTCATGGCGACGGGTGTGCCGGGAAGCTGGGTCCTGCGGGAGGAAGGGGCACACCGGGCTGCGTCCACGCGGTCAGCGGCACGGCCACCAGGCGTCCACCAGCTGCCCTCCCCTCTCCAGTGCCAGAGAAGGCGGGGCTGGCCGTCAGAGCCCAGCCTTCCAGGGTCACGTGCGTGCCGGGCCGGGGAAGGGTGGTGGCGGTCTGGGGAGGGGTCAGTGTCCTGGAGGGGCAGCGGGAGCTCCAGGAACCGTGCGGGAAAGGCCACGGGGCTGAGAGAAACGACATGAGCCCACAGGGGCGGCAGGGCCTGCCGGAGGGGAGGGCGGGGGCCGGTGGCGTCCTCGGACTGGGACAGGCGGGCCCGTCCCCCTCGTGCCGCCCAGGGCCGGGCTGCCGCGCAGGTCCTGTCCACACAGCGCGTCCTGGGCACTGGACCCCACGCGTGACACGAGCTGCAGCAGAGCCATAGGCCACGGCCACGCCGCCCACGGCACCCTCCACGCCGCCCAGGGCACCCTTCATCGTGCTGCTCCTGCGACGCCTGCTCGCCGCCCCCCTGGACAGTGCCCCCCGGAGCCAGACGGGGTTGGAAGCTCCAGCTGCTTCTCTCCTTGGCCCAAAGCAGGGAACGCCTGACGGGCTCCAAACTCCTCAATAAAAACGCAGTAAACACCCTGACTTTGTCAAAAAGAGGCCCGAGGACCTCCACAGCCGGGGCGACCTCTGGCCAGGGACCTGGGGCACCGGAGCCGCCGCACCTGACAGACCCCCAGGTCCGCAGCGAGCAAGCAGGCCGCTCCCGTCCGGGCAGGCACGAGGGCGACGTCCCTGAGCGCGGTCCTCAGACCCTGTCCTGGGTTGAGACGAGCCTGTGATGTGGGGGTGGGGGGTCCCACAGAACCAGCCTAAGCCAGAGGGAGGACACACAGCTGTGGGCTGGGCAGCCAGGCCTCCGGGAGGAACCCCTGGAAAGCCCGTGGGCCCCGAGGCTGGGGGCACCCGCTGACAGTGCCCACGTGTGACGTCACCACGGAGCCAGGCAGCTCCAGGGCGAGGGCGACGGCTCCGGCCCCTCCCCGGGCTCGCCGCCCCCGCTGTACACCCCGGGGGGCCCCGCGCACCCTGGCTCAGGCCGGGAGGCCCGAAGCAGCCAGCGGGGCTGATCCTCTTGGCCATTGTAGGGACTCGGCCGTCCTGACACCACCCCGGCCACGTTCCCAGGGAGGAGCAGGCGCCGCCCACCCCTCCCTGTGGGCCCCCATGGGCCCCTCACAGCCCCCCCGGGCCCCATCCCAGGCGGGACTTGGCTCCGGCTTGACCCCGGGCGAGGCGAAGTGAAACTCAGCTTCCCCTTTCCAGAGCAAAACAGAAGAGAAAGAGGCGCGCGGGGGTCCCCCGCTCCGGCCCGGCCTCCTTCCCAGGCAAATCGGGCGCCTGACTGGCCGGTGCTGACTCAGCAGCTCCGGGGCGGGGCGCAGACGCCGCGTCTGGGGCTGCAGAGCGGGTCGTCCCCACCTGAGCAGAGGCTGCACGTCCACGGCGGGCGCAGAGCGGCCCGGGCAGAGCCCGCCATGTCCCTGTCCAACTGCTCGGCGCACAGCGCGGGGGTGGAGGTGGCCGTGGCCTCGCTGCTGCTGCTGGAGTGCGGCCTGGGCCTGCTGGGCAACGCCGTGGCGCTCTGGACCTTCTTCTTCCGCCTGCGGGTGTGGAAGCCGCACGCCGTCTACCTGTTCAACCTGGTGGTCGCGGACCTGCTGCTGGCCGTCTGCCTGCCCTTCTACGCCGCCTTCTACCTGGTGCACAAGGCCTGGGGCGGGGGCCCCGGGGCCTGCCGGGCGCTGCTGTTCCTGCTCATGCTGGGCCGGGGGTCGGCGTCTCCTTCCTCACCGCCGTGGCCCTCGACCGCTACTTCCGGGTGGTCCACCCGCACCTCAAGGTGAACCTGCTGTCGCTGCGGGCTGCCCAGGGCATCTCCGCCCTGGTCTGGCTGCTGGTGGCCGCCCTCGTCCACCCCGGCGTGTTCGCGCCCGGGTCCGAGTGCCCCCCGCAGGAGCCGGGCAGCTCGCTGTCCTTCAGCGTCCTGTGGCGGGAGGTGCTCCTCTGCCTGCAGTTCCTCCTGCCCTTCGGCCTCATCTTGTACTGCAACGCGGGCATCATCGGCGCCCTCCAGGCCAGGCTGCGGGACCCGGCCCAGCAGCCCCGGCTGCGCAGGGCCCGGGCCCTGGTGACCGCCGTGGTGGCGCTGTTTGCCCTCTGCTTCCTGCCCGGCTTCCTGGCCCGTGCCCTGGCGGCCACCCTGCGCCCCTGGGCCGGCTGCGGGCTGTGGAGGGCGCTGGTGCTGGCCTCCGACCTGGCCGGCAGCCTCAGCTACCTGCAGAGCGTGCTCAACCCCGTGGTCTACTGCTTCTCGCACCCCGCCTTCCGCAGCTCCTACCGCAGGGTGCTGCTCACGCTCCGGGGCCGCGCGCCCGAGGCCGAGGAGGCCCCCGGCAACCTCCGAGACTCCTGCTCCTGAGGCGCGGCCAGCCGCCCCGGCACCCGGCTCCCACCCGCACGACCAGCACCCTCCGGGACCGGCAGGAAGGGGAACTCGCCCATCGCAGCGGGGGTGCGGCCGGCAGGGCCGTCGGACGCGTCCCAGACCCAGCAGCCCTGACTGCCAGAGGCGCGGTCAGGCCGGAGCCCCGGGGCCGGCGGGGAGAGGGGCCACCAGCCTGGCTCCCCGCCCCCGGCCTGCCCCGATGCCACGGCCGAGCGTCCCTCCTGCGCGCAGGCTCCTGACGCCTGGCCGGGGCGGGCTCGGCCAAGTCTCCTAGGCCCGCCGCCCGCTTGGGTCTGGGGAGAAGCTGGTCCCGTCAGCCCGGCGGCCCCCCGGGAGCAGGCGGGGCTGCTGCGCTACCTCCCGAGGCCACGTCCAGCGGCGCCCGGGCCCCCGGGCACCAGCGGAGGAGCCAGCTGCAGGCCAGCGGCAGCCCCGCGGGGGGCGCCCGGCAGAGCTGGGGACGCCCCGCCCTGCCCGCGACACCCCACAGCCACCGCGTCTCCGCACCGCATTCCTCTTACATTTTGCTAAAACGCCAAGTCATCTTGGGATGCTGGGCCCGGGCTCTGCGGACTCCCGGCTGCCTCGCCCGTCGCCTCGCCGCTTGGCCTCGCCCGCATCAGGAGACCCTGTTCTCCCGGGGGCCGTGGCGCGCGCCCTGCTGTCTTCAGGGTCAGGCGGGAGGAAGGGCGATAGGACGTGGCAGAGCCTGGCCACTGCCCGGGGGGCTCCCGGGGGCTCCGAGCAGGACGCCCGGACCCGCCCGGGCCTGGCAGGAGGGTGACGCCCCAGGCCGGGCCCTGCCTCCGTCAGCAACGGTTTGCTGCTCTCGCCGGCTGCTTCCTCGGACAAGGGCAGGGCCGCTGGGGGCGCGAGCCGCCGGGTCAGACCCGGACGTGGCCCCTTCCCGCCGGGAAGACGCGGCCTCGTCCTGACCTGCCCACACGACTTTCACCCGCTTTAGCGCCTCGCGTCTGCCGCGAGCATTTTCCAGGGGACGACGCCTTCCCACAGGCGCCTGCGGTGGGCCCCTGGCCCGTCGGCGCTGTTCTCCCCGGCTTCTCCCTCCCTGGGGGGCGCTGGACGCGGGACCGTGCGCGCAGGGAGGCGGACAGAGCACCCCGGCGTCGGCACACCCCGCCCCCGAGCCGCGGAGAGGCCGCGCCAGCAGAGCGTGTGCCGCGCAGCCTGTCCCCCGCCCCCGCCCGCTCTGGCCCCCTCGGCTCTGGACCCGCCCACCTCTGGGCCCCCTGGCTCTGGCCTCCCAGGGCTGTGACCACAGGCTCCTGTCCTGCTCCAGCACCGCCCTGGCCACACTCTGCCCCTCTCCCTGCCCCTATGTCCAGCCTGGCAAAGCAGAAAAGCCATCACAGGGTCCCTGCCGCCCAGGCCCTGCTGGTGCGTCCTGGACAGGGCAGGTGGCCATGCCCCCTCAGGCAGCCGAGGCGGGACCCCCTCCAGGCCAGCCGCCCCGGGAGCCGCCCTCAGGCGGTCGCGTTAGGAATGCAGGAGCGTGGGCCGCGAGCAGGAGGCGGCGAGGAAGAGCAAATGCAGAGACCTCGCAGCCGGGGCTCTGCCCGCGCTGTGTTGAGAGCCCCGCCCCGCGCTGCGAGGACACCGCGAAGGGCTTTACTCATTTCATAATCTTTTTCGAAAGTAAAGTTTACATTTTCCTCATGAGACGCGGATGTGGCTGCGCCCGAGCCAGGCGCCCTGCTCAGCCGGCCCCCAGCAGGGGCGCCGCGGGCGTGGGGAGCGGGCTGGGGGCGGGGAGCCAGCGGGGCGGGGGCGGGGGGCGCCTCTGCCGGGAATCAGGGCCTCCAGACCCGGGGGTCCAACATCCCGTCCAGGTCAAGAGCCAGCTCCCCCTCCAGAGGCGGCAGAGACGAGACGGGCTAAATGCCGACATGGTTGCTCCACAGCCCGGCTCAGAGGCCAACGGGGGGGCTGCGGGAGAGAAGGACCCCCGCTGCACCCCTCCTCCCCGCACCCCTCCTCCCTGCACCCCTCCTCCCTGCACCCCTTCTCCCTGCACCCCTCCACCCTGCACCCCTTCCTCCCTGCACCCCCTCCCCTGCACCCCCCTGCACCCTCTCCTCCCTGTACCCCATCTTCCCCCTGTACACCCTTCCCCCTCCTCCCTGTACACCCCTCGCTGACCCCCCCCTCCTCCTCAGACGCAGGTGGGAGGGGCCTGGCTGCTGCTCTCTTCTCCCCCGCTGCCCCAGCGTCCTGGCATCCACCCCCGCCCCCCTCACTGCAGGGCGGGCACCGCGGTCCCTGCCCCGCCGGAGTCCGCGCTCCCACCGCAGGCGGGGGCTGCAGCCGGCACGGCCGTCACGCAGCGGGAGCGCAGCCCCGGCGCCCTCGCGCCTGGTCGCAGCCACGGGCTGAGTAGTGGCTGGGAGGCCGGAGAGGGACGTCCGCGCCGGCCAGAGCTCCCAGCACAGGCCCTGCTGCCTGACAGGACGGCCGCGACGAGGGCTGCTGGCGTGGAGCAGCCGCTGCCCGCGAGGGTCACGCTGGCCAGAGAGGGAAGGCGGGCGGAGGGCCCTGGCCTGCTCCCGCGGGCTGACCCAGGACACGCAGCAGAGCCGTCCGCCGCGAGTGCGGCCGGAGCAGCGAGGCGCGGCCGTGGGCCCGAGGCAGGGGTGGAGAGTGGCGAGTGAGGGCGTCCGGGCAGCCGCTGTGCGGGCAGCCCCGTGAGCCCCGGCCCTGGGCGTGGACGGGCAGGCCCTGGGGGCGGGGTCAGACATAAGGGAGGAGCCAGCTGCGGGGGTCCAGGGGGCCTCGCTCTCCACCACCATGTGCCACGGTCCCAAGCCGAGGGCCGCTGCACAGAGGGGCGCCCGCCGCCCTCCAGAGGCCGCCCAGGGCCCGCGGGGCTGGGGCCCAAGCACGCCGCAGGACAGCCGCGGAGGCGGGGAGCCCCCATGGGGTGCAGGAGCAGCCTGGCCAGGCCGCCCAAGGGGCCCGCATCTGGGGAGCTCTGACCAGCCTGCTGGAAAGGACCGGGCAGGCCGCAGCCTCGGGGCAGGGTGGGGGGGGGGGTGGGCTGTCCCTTCAGAGAACCGGCTGGTCCCGGTCTGGCTGCACCCAGCTCTCAGGGCGAGGGCGGGAGCCCCAGGCCCTCAGAATGTGACTGCTGGAGATGCCCTTGGGGGCGCTTAGGGAGACGAGGCGCTGGCACCCCCACAGAGAACCCAGGGACACAGGGAGGCGCTGCCGGCCGTGCGGGCAGCCGGAAGCCCCGGGGGACACAGGGGACGGGGCAAGGCCTGGGAGGATCCAGGCCCGAAACCTTGCCCCACCCCGGCCCTGGCCCGCTGGCTTCAGCACCCAGCTAGCCCACACGCTGCCCACACGCTGCCCACACGCTGCCCACGCCACAGAGCACCTGGAATTTGCACACGGTGCCCAGAAATTTTAAAAGGTCTGAAAATGGTGTCCTCTCCTGGGCTCCTTTAAAAACCAGGCGCTCCCGCTCGGAAGCAAACAAACCAGCGAGCCGAGGGCCGGCCAGACAGAGCCCGCGCCACGGCCTGCTGTCCTGCTGGCTGCCAGGGCCTGGGCCTCTCACTTGTAGCCGACCGCGCCATCGCCACCAGCCGCCGGGGCCACGGGAAGGCGTCCCCGGCCAGCCGACGGGCGGATGTCAGAGAGCCCACGGGCGGCGGGACGGGCCAGCGTGTTGCTGACAGGTCAGGGCTGGGGCTCTGACAAGGGTGGACCGGCCGGGAGGACGCTGTCTGGAGCAGCTGCCGTGGGGGCGGCACCCTGGAGGGGAGCCTCTCTGTGGGGGGCCCCAGCGGCATCCCAGCGGGCACCAGCTCCCGGGCAGGAGGGCGGGCGGGGTCCTGTGCCTTCCTGACAGCTTTCGTCACCACGGCTGAAATTTTAAAAGGCCGCTGCTTTAGGAGGCAAGTCTCACCTCCCTGAGGCCAGTGGGCTCTGCCCCCCGGGGCCGGGGCCTCTCGGGACGGACCCGCCAGCTGCGCCCCGGGACCTGCTTTCGGGGCCTGGAGCCCGACCCCAACCCTCGCCGACGCGCGTCTGGACGCAGCCTCCACGCCTCACAAAGCAGCTTTATTTTGCGAAGCCAGCACCGCACGGAGAAGGGGCAGGGCTGGGTCTCGAGCGCGCTGGGGCAGGTGCAGGCCGGGCTCGGGGCTCTGCCCACACGGGACAGGCGCCCTGCGGGTCCCCGCACGTCCGGCCTTCGCTCCACGGACTTCCTCCTGAGTCGAGCACGGTCGGCGGCGCCGACTCCCTGGAGCTCAGGTGACCGGGGAGCGGCCAGGCCTGGCTGCAGGTGCAGCCCTGAGGAGCCACGCCCTGTCTCCGCCGGGCCTGGACACACGCCGCGGACCCGCTCGCTGTCCTCCGTGGGAGGTGGACTGTCTGGTTTTAACGATAGACTCGAGCCGCTGCCACTACGAGCTGCGCTGTCACTGGGTTTGCTGAGCAGAGACCAGGAAGCCCCTGGGGGCCTGACGTGGCCTGGGCGGGCGGGGACTCCCTTCCGCGGGGACACTTGCCACGCCAGCCGGCCACAGCCCCTGGCCCTGGCGCCTCCAGGCCCGTCCTGTCCCGGGAAGCCTTTCCAGCTGATCGGGCTGGAGCCCGTTTCCTCTAGAAGGTGGAGAGGCTTTTTGCCGGCTCCCGGTGGCCCAGAGGGGCAGAGTCCTGCTCGGGCCAGGGTGCCCATCGTCGGCCACAGTGGACGTCCAGCAGGTCAGATGGGCGCCTTGCGCCCGGGCGGGGCGGGGAGAGCGTTTGTATTTTCCAACTTTGCTTTTTCAAGCCACGTGACTTGAGGCGAGGGGCTGGCAGGCAGCGGCGTGCGCAGGTGCTCACGGCAGTGAGTGTGGTGCTCAGCTCCCTAAGCCTGTTTGGGGGCACAGCGGCCCTCAGACCCCCGAGCCCCAGGGCCCCCAGCCGCAGGCCCCCGGGGAAAGGCCCTGGCCGCGCGCGTCACACGGTGAAGGAGGACACGTTCTCGTGCTCCGCGGTCTCGCTATTCTGCCGGGAGGGGAAGGCCTCGGCCTGCAGCCGCCCGCAGGGGAGGCCCGGCCGCCGGCGCCCCCACCATGCGCAGCACAGCCCCTTCATGACCTTCAGGAAGTAGCTGCGGAACTTCTGGCCCACGAAGGCGTAGAGCACGGGGTTGAGGCAGCAGTGCAGGAAGGCCAGGGCCTCGGTGACGGCCGTGGCGTAGGCGCCCGCCTTCTCGCTGCTGCACGTGCGGTTCATGGAGCCCAGCCTGGCCGCCTTCACCAGCAGGACCACGCTGTGGGGCAGCTGGCAGGCCAGGAAGACCACCACCACCGCCATGATGACGCGGATGGCCTGGTGCCGCCGGGAGTTCTGCGCCCGCACCAGGGTGCGGACGATGAGCGTGTAGCAGACGCCCATGAAGGCCAGCGGGATGAGGCCGAAGACCAGCTGCAGCCCCAGCGCCAGCAGCTTCCAGCGCACGGGCTCAGGCACGCGGGGGAAGTGCTGCTCGCACACCTCGCCGGTGTGCTCCTTGTACTTCTCGTAGAACACGACCGTCCAGCTGGAGGTGAGCACGGACACCGCCCACACGGCCACGCAGATGGCCCTGCGGTACGCCAGCATCCGGGACCGCACGCGGAAGGACCTGGCGGCCTGCACGATGGCCACGAAGCGGTCCAGGCTGATGCAGGCCAGCAGCAGCATCCCGCAGTTGAAGTTGACGGCGTAGACGCCCTTGGTCAGCTTGCACATGGCGTCGTTGAAGACCCACCGGCCCATCGCGTGGTTCACGGCCCAGAAGGGCAGCGTGAGGACGAACAGCACGTCGGCCACCGCCATGTTCAGGAGGTACACGTCGGTCATGGACTTGGACCTCTTGTAGAAGGCGAAGGTGAGCACCACCAGCATGTTGCCCACGAGGCCGCACACGCACATCAGGGCGTAGGCCGCCGGCAGGAACAGGGCGGAGAAGCGGCGGACCTCCTGCAGGGAGCAGGGCGAGTCCTCCGCGTCCAGCTCTCCGTAGTCGAAGCTGTCCCAGTAGCCGAAGCTGGAGTTGGTCTGTTCCTGGAAAGCGAACGCAGGGCGGTTAGCCAGGGGCGCGCCCCATGGCGGGTGGGAGCCCGGGCCGCCCGCCCACGTGCTTACCTCACTCATGGTCCGGTTGCGGCAGTGGGCGCGGCCTGGGGTCCAGGGAAGGATGTCTGCCCTCGGCTCGGCGCAGCGCTCACAGGAGAGCAGGGACCTGAGGGGCGAGACCAAGAACGTGACCGTTCCCAGCGGCTTCCCAGAGGCCCAGGGTGTCCACGGACAGAGCCACCCCTGAGCACTGGGCACACGGCCAGCGGGTGACTGTGAGGGCCAGAGCTAATGGGAGACCACGAGGGGCAGGGCCAGCGGGTGACCGTGATGGAGAATGTGCTTGGCAGCCTCCGAGGCCGCACGTCACGGCTGCACAACCCACGGGTGTCTGGGGGGGCGGCGTGGACAGTGCCCCGGAGGGAAAGTGCCGGCCCCGTCTGCGGCGGGCGATCTTGAGCAATGGTGGACAGGGTGACCCTCCGTCCTCGGACGTCCATCTGCACAAAAATCCTCAAGCGAAATTCAAGTGCATCCACCGAGATTCCACGGAACAAACCCCGGGACACAGGGCAGGAGGCTCGCGGGGGTGCCGGACACGGCGTGTGGCTGCGTGGGGGCTGTCGCGCGTCCACAGGCCCTGGGTGCGGTGTGCAGGGCGTGACTGGCCATGCTGGGGCTGCCGAGGGGCACGGACCCTGGGGGAGGGGATTTGCTGTTGGCCTGATCGGGAGCTTGGGCGGGTGATGCGGGCGTGACCTGGGCCTCGTGAAGCCGGCTCCTGACTGTCGGGTGCCGTGGGCCTAGGACGGGAGCGCCTGAGGGCCGGGGAGGCGGGGGAGGCAGAGGGGCCCCGGGGACCGTGCTGAGCTGGGGCAGCAGCAGGAGGGGAGCAAGGCGCAGGGTTACTGGGGACGCCCAGGGAGGTGCTGTGGGACTGTGGTCAGCAGGCTGCGGTCAGTCTGGGCAGGGTCAGCCGGGGTGGGCCCAATGTGCCTGTGCCCCGGGGGTACAGCGGACAAATGGGGCGCTGGGCAGTTGACCTGGGTGAGCATGACCCACCCACCGGGCCAGGGGAGTCTGGGGAGAGGCTCAGCTGCCCTGGGATCCAGTTGATGCGGCCCCGGGGCGTCTGCTAGGCAGGTAGGAGGGCCGGGCGAGGAGCGAGCCGCAGGCCCAGCCCCACGGCAGGTCCAGAAGGGCCGGGAGGGCTGTGGGGCCGTGGGCAGGGCTGGCCGAGGACAGCAGGTGGAGGACGGCAGGCGGATCCCAGCGGCCTCAGCCGCGTCCCGTCCTCGGAGGGGCGAGCCAGGTGCCAGCGGCATCAGGGGCACAGCTGGAGCCCTGGGGCTGACGTGACTGTGGCTGACATCAGTGCTGTGGGCTGGGCACAAGGCGCAGTGACCGCAGGGGATCCGGCCACCTCCAGCACTCACAGCGGGGAGCCCTGTGGGCCGCGGAGGGAGCAGCGTGGGGCGGTGGGCGCCGGGAGCCAGGGCTGGAGGAGCAGCGAGAGCTCCCTGCTACCAGGCCTGGGGCAGGACCCTCAGGGCTGGTCCAGGCTCTGCCGCTGGCGAGCCGCGGGTGCTGGGCGGGCGTGGCCACTGGCTCGGCGAACTCGGGTCGGGGCCAAGATGGCGCAGCCCTGGACGCGCCTCCCTGCCCTCCGGCCCCACCCTCCTCCTGCTGTCCTGTGGGCTGCTTGAAGCCATGCTGAGCGCTGCGGGATTCTCAACGTGATTTGCTTGTGTTTGGGGGTCTTTCGGGAGCGATGCTCCCCCCAGGTGCTCTGAGAGCCGCGTGGGCGCAGGCACAGCGGCCCCAGAAGACGCGGCAGGAGGCGCTTCTCCACCCCGGCGCCCGAGCCCAGTGCGGCGGGCAGCGACGCCGGCCTCCCGTGTCAGCCCTCGCCCTCCTGCTACACGTCCCAGGGGCAGGAGGCGGCGCCCCAGATGACGCACGTCAGGACACCCAGCTCTGAGGCACCCGGGCTGCAGAGCTGGTCCGGCTCTTTGCGGAGGAGAGTCGCGTCCGGGGAGCGTGGGCTGGGCTCCGCGAAGGTCCATTTCAGGAAGGACCAGGCGGCTCGGGCGGCCTCTGCACCGGAGCCCTGTCTCAGGCCCCTGGGCAGGGAGGTGCGGGAGATGCTGCAGGCCCAGGTGGACTCTGCAACAGGCAACGGCCAAGGGAGGACGAGCAGGCCAGGAGCGGGACAGGCCGACGCTTATCTGCGTGGTCGCCCCGCCCACCCCAGCGTCAGCTGCTGCCCCCCCCCAGGGACAGACACAGGCCCGGCTCCCAGGCTGGGGACGCGCGAGCTGGAGCGTGACGCAGGTGCAGACTCGCTGAGCTGAAGCTCCGAGCGGGGCCGAGCTGTGGTGGGGCCAGGGTGGGACCGCGGGGCACGAGAGGCCCTGGCCGGGTGGAGAGACCAACAGAGGGGAAGGGAGGGCCCAGCAGCAGGACGCTGGGGTTGGCTCGATGGCCAGTCCCCTGGACTGTGGACCAGCAGCCCTAGCTGTCCTCGGCAACGCTCCCCACGCCCCATGCGGGGCCTGCCAGGCCGAGTGTCCTGCAGCCCGGGGGCAGGCGGCCGGGCCTGCAGACAGGCGGGGGAGGTTACCCCGCAGACCTGCCGGGATGGAGGGACGGGCCGAGGGCTGCCGACTCAGGGTGGGCCTGGGAGCTGGGCACACAGTGTGGCCAACAGGGGGTCCCGAAGCTGGGTTCTGGCGGCCATGTCGGGGAGCAGGGCCCGGGCCTTCCCTGTAAACTCAACGGACGGAGCGGGCGGGGCTCTGACCCCAGCGCCGCGGGGTTCTGAGTCTGGGTCGTTTAAGATGCTAAGTTTTTGGTAATTTTTTTTATGGCTGCAAGTCGGAACGGAAACAGCATTCCATCAGCTGTCTATTAAAGTTGAGCTTGATTTTTAGCCAAATTATTACAAATCTAAGATTAGCACGAAGTACGTCTCGGTCCCCTACACTGCACACGGGTCACGTCAACATCGGGCTGTTGGGTCGAGTGACCGGAAAGGCTCCGGCTGGAGCAGGCGAAGCCCAGTGGCCAGAGACAGAGCCATGGGCGGGGGCGGGGCCAGGCCGGGCCTTCATCAGACCTGGGTCAAGGTCAGGCGGGGGCGGCGCGTTTCAGGGCACGGCGGCCCCTGTAGCTTGCAGGGCTGTCCCCTGAGAGGGTCTGCCCCCCAGGCCTGGATGTGCCCACGAGCTCTGCAGACAGACCTGCAGTTTGGAGGGCTGGCAGGAGCCGCCGCATGCAGGGAGGGCGCGTCCGGACCCGCAGAGGCCCCGCATCCTGCCAGAGCACCCGAGTGGGGCAGCGGGTCAGACCCGGGCGCAGGAGTTGGAGCTGGAGCTCTGTGGAAGGGGGGCACGGGCCACACCCCTCAGCTCCACGTGCGCAGGAGGAAGGGGGGCGGGGGGCGGCAGTGCTCCCCGAGGACTGACCACTGGCCTCGGAGGATGCCGTGGACAAGGTTCTGCGCCCCATCTGTCTCGGCTCCTCGGGGCTGACTGTGGCCTGCCCGCGTCCTGAGGGTCATTTGAAACACTGAGACCTTCAGGCCCGGCCGGCCACCCCTCACCCTGCCTTTCCATGCAGGGAGCCCAGCACCACGCAGCTGGCCGCCGGACCTGGCCGTGCCAGCACTTAGCGGGGAGACTGCAGACACGCTCTGGGGAGAAGGGGGCCGGCGCTGGCCACGCGGCTGCTGCCGCTGACGCCCCCATCAGTGTCCTCCAGGCCTGCTCGGGACGCTGTTCCCCAGACTGCTCAGCACAGGTCCTGGAGCCAGTGACCTGTCCTCTGGGGATGCTTCGGGAAGCCGGCCTGCAGGAGCCGCCCTGGCTTCACCTCTTCACCCACCAGAGCCAGGGTGGGGCTCCCGCCGGCCCCGCCTGCTCCCCGGCGGCTGACAAGCCCCACACCGCCAGCAGGCTGGGCCCGGTGACCAGAGCTTCTGGCCTGCGGGGGACAAAGCTCAGCCTCGCACTAGCCCCCACCAGCGCCCCCCGCCCCCGCCCTGCACGCCCTCCACCGGCGGGGCCCGGCCGCCAACCGGCTCCTCTCCCTCTTGCGGCGGAGCCAGGCTTCCTGCCACTTCTGAGCCAGCGCCGGAGCCTCCGGAGGAGCAGAGGGGCCAACCCCAGGGGGCGGCTGCGGGCTAGGGCCGCGAGTGGCTCAGGGAAGGGCCCCGTGGTTTCCCGCTGCTGCGCTGCCCCCTGGGGACCCGCATGCAAACGCGCCCCACCAGCAGCCGGCGCCCCCCGTCCAGCCAGACCCCAGGGAGCCCGCATGACGGTGCAAGGGGCCGCCTCGGGGGCCACATCACACAGGAAGTGTCAGAAGACGTTTGACTTTTTACATGTGAACTTACCTAATGTCAGTTTGCATTAATACACGCAAAGTCGCTTAGGGAAAGAAAGAAGCGGGGGGCCTCTCGGGAGCACACCACCCACGCCGTCGCCGGGGGCCAGGGCACCCCCAGCGCAGCACCCCCGCCTCCCTCGAAGAGGGAGGGGTCCTCAGGCAGGTGACCAGGGACAGGACCGTCGGGCGGCCCCCGTCCTGAGTAGTGAGCGACTCAGTGGTGTCCGGGGACCGGACACACTCCCGAGCGCAGTCTGCGGGCTGGACTCTGGGGACAAGGGTGAGGCCCGGGCAGCAGCATCCCAAGGGGACGGCTGCCCCAAGGGCTGGAGGAGGGGCTGAGAGGGGGCGAGAGCTGTCCCGGCGCAGGCAGGCTCCCGCGGGAGACAGTGTCCACCAGAACTCTGCCGTGAGGAAAGCTGCGGACGTTTCACATGAAGCGACTCCAATGTCAAGCTTAACAGATGGTGGCCACGCAGCAGTGTGCAGGCGTGTGTCCACGCGCAGTGGGCGAGCCAGCCCCAGGGCACGTGTGTGTGTGTGGTGTGTGCACGTGTGTGCCGGTGTGCGCCCACGTGCATGTGCTGTGTGTGCATGTGTGTGTGCTGTGGTGCGTGCCAGTGTGTGCATGCTGTGTGTGCATGCATGCGTGTGCGGTGTGTGCACGTGTGTGTGTGCCATGTGTGCTGTGTGTGCCTGCATCAGGGGTCTGGCTGCACCCCGGGACGCAAGCACCGCTTCCCCTCGGCCGGCTCTCGGCGGGCACTGCCCGGGCTCAGGGTGGGGCTGGGCTGCCCGGGGCGGCCCCTCCTGTCACCTGGCAGGGGCCGGAGGGCCGATTCCCACCAGGTCCTGAAGGCCACGTTCACCTGGCCGGGTCAGCCTTGCCGGCGGGCTGGGGGCTGCCCGGCCGCGGGGCGCTGTCTCTTGCCCTTTCTCAGATGAGCACGGGGGTGCGGAGCGTCTGCGCGACTTCCTTCTGCTTTTGAATCGGGGTGGAGAGAAACCAGGAGGTGTTTTCCAGCGATCTGTGGAGGGGCTGATGTTTCTTCTTTTTTCTCTGGTTCCTTCTGATTCATTGCGCGCCCACTCGGATGTTTGCTTTTTATTTGCCGAAACGACGTCTTCAATCATTTCGAGACAGCTTTAGCTCAGCCCTGGCGCTGACCTCCTTCTCTGCGGCTCGGCCCCCCGCCCCCGGCTGCTCTCAGGCGCTGCGGGACCCACGGCCTCTCCCAACGTCACCGCCCGCTCTGCTGCTCGCACGGCCCGGCCGGCGGCCCCCGACCCGTCCCCAGGCGGCTGCGCCTGCCAGCACCACCGCCCGCCTCTCCTGCGGGGCCCTCGGGCGCCTCCCGCGCCACCTCCTGCTCCTCCGGACACCCCCTCTCCGCCACAGCCCTGCCCTCCCCACAGAGCAGGTCTCAGCCTCGTCCCCAGCCTCTCCACACGTTCCCGCCGACGTGAGTCAGCAGAGCGCAGTGTCCCAGCCGACGCGCAGGGGCAGGCCAGGCCCTGTGGCCCGAGGGGGTTCAGACGCTGGACACCTCCGCTGCGTCCAGAGCTGCAGGACGACGCGCCTGTGCAGGGGGGGGGCCCTGCGAGCACCTCGGCGGCCGGCCCGGCCGGCCCTGGACCACCAACAGTCCTGCCCACACCCTCACCCGGCGGGGCACGCTGGGGGCACGCTGGGGCGCTGGGGGTGCTGGGGGGCTCCGCCAGCTCACCTGGGCTGCCGGGTCCGAGGAGAATGGCCGTCACACCGTCGCGCTCCGGGCAGCCATATCCCGCTGGGTCTGTGAGCAAGAGGCAGCGCCAGGTGAAGACAAACGCAGCGCGAGCCGGAGCTGCCCAGAAGAGTCGCCGTCACCACTTCCTACTTCCGAGCGACGCCCTCTGCCCAACGGGGTTACCCAGGCGCTCAGCAGGTCACAGAGCGGCCCCAAAGCGGGTGAGGAGGGGGCGGTGCTGCCCCAGCAGGAGCCCCCAGAGCAGGACTCCACTGGGGCCCTGGACACAGCCGCCGGGGCGACCCGGGCTTGGGCAGCGCCGACGGAGCGCGGTGGGCGCGAGCATCCGGGCCTGGGCCAGGACTCGCCCGGAGAGCAGCCCCACGGACAGCCCTGGCCCCCGGGCACACGCCCTCCTGTGGAGCCCCACGGCCCTGGCGCCCACGCCGTGAAGCAGGGGGCAGCGCTGGAGCGGAACCCCGGCTGCGGGGACACTCTGGTCAAGGGCGCGGGCCCGGCGGAGCGCCTCCCCAGGGAGACTTGCCGCCGGGGCGGGGCCTGCGGGGCCCCCAGGGCCGAGGACTGGAGAGCAGCAAACAGCTGAGAGCGGCTCTGAGCCGGCACCTGCACCCGCAGTGAGTCACGTGGTCGCGTCTCGGAGCGAGGGAGGGCCAGGCCCAGCGGGCAGGCCCAGAGGTCAGGGAGTGCCAGCCGCACGCTGGCCGCCTCCCGCCACTGCCCGCGCCCGTCATCTCCTGACACACGCTGCAGGCGTCGCTCCTCGGCACAGACACCGCCCGGCCGGCGTGGAGAGAGCAGCTGGCCCCGCCAACACACACGGATGCTCGGGCCACTGCAGGGCAGGACGCCGGCCGGTCCCCCGGGACCCAGGGCCCACACGGAGGGCAGGGTGGGTGCCCCAGTCCAGGTCTGCGGGGTTCAGACTCGGCGCTGCCCTGCCAAGGGCGTCAGCCTTTCGGCAGCTCATGGCCACGGGGCGTGGGGAGGCCGCCACCTGGGGTGGACGCCAGGCCCGGGGAGGGGAGGACACGCCTGTGCGCTCGGCCTGGGGCGGGGCGGACGCCCTCCGGGGCCTGCTGCATGGCCCGGCGTCCGCCAGAGCGGCTGCTCCTCAGGCCCCTCTCGCTCCGTGGCCCGGGGCACCTTCGCCGTTTAGCTGCCACGAGGGTCCGGCTCCAGCGGCCCCCGCCCTGTCTCCGGGACACCTGCTGCCCGGACAGCCACTGTCAATTCCCTCCCCACGTTGCTGGCCCTCCTGACCCCGCAGGAGGGAGGCCTCGGAGTCGGGGTCCCACCTCCCTCCCGCTGCTGCCCCCGAGTCGTCTCCTGCAGTCCCGGCTCCGTGCCCTGCGCCCCCCGCTCTGCCCCCCACCTGGGAGCAAGGGCCCCTCCTCCCACCTCGCCCGGCGCCGTCACCGCCCCACCCGCAGCGCCCACTGCTGCCCCTGCTGCGTCGGGCCCGGGGAGTGTCCGGGGGGTCCCGGCAGCCTCACCGTGGGGCTCCCCCAGGCCTGGCACAGCCTCCCAGCAGCCGCCTTTTCTCCCCGCCCCCGGCCTCTCCCGACGGCCTCGCTTACCCAGGCTGAGACCCTCACAGCCA